AAGAGTACGACTTTACAGTAGTTTATAGGCCGGGCAGCGGAATGAGTCATGTTGATGCGCTAAGTCGAAATCCGGTGGAAGCTCCAATAAGTTTTGACGAACTAGATTTATTAACAATAAACCTAACTGAAGACGATTGGGTGCTTACCGCACAATTGCAAAACGATCGTATTGCGTATTTACATGAAGTTCTGTCTCGAACTCCTGCGGACCGTGATGAGAAAAACATCCATACGGAGTATAAATTACAAAATAATAGAGTTTTTCGGAAAACCGAGGACGGATTACGATGGGTCGTTCCCAAAACAGCCCGACGGCAACTAACGATGCTTTGTCACGACGAAAAAGGGCATTTTTCTGTCGATAAGACTTTTAATTTAATGAAACAAAATTACTGGTTTCCGTCAATGCGACAATATGTAAAGCGGTATATTTCAAGTTGTTTAGGATGCTTGTTTAATAAAGCTCCTGCGGGAAAACAACCTGGTTTCTTACATCCAATAGGAAAAGTCCAAGAGCCTATGCATACTATACATTTGGACCATTTAGGTCCGTTCGTTAGGAGTAAGCGTAAAAACACACATTTATTAGTAGCTGTAGATGCGTTTACGAAATTCGTAATTATGAAAGCAGTGCCTAATACGAAAGGGGTGCATGTCGAAAACTTTTTGCGGAATAAAATCATCGAAGCTTTCGGTGTTCCGAAGCGGATAATAACCGATCGTGGCACGTGTTTTACTAGCAAAAAGTTCACGCAGTTATTTAAAACACTCGGTGTTAAAGTGGTACTTAACGCAACGGCTACGCCACGCGCAAACGGGCAGGTAGAACGATATAATCGTACGATTTTAGCTTCCCTATCAGCGACGTTCTCTGATGAGGAAAGTTGGGACAAAGAAGTCCCAAAAGTAAGTTGGGGTTTGAACACTACGGTTAATAAAGCTACGGGAACAACCCCATTTAAGTTGTTATACGGTTACGAACCACGGAGCGCGCACGATGCGTTCATTGTAAATGAAGTTGGTACTGATCAGTATAATAAAGACTTGGCCAAGACACGAGAGGCAGTTGGGGAAAGTCTCCGACTGCAGCAAGAACGTGAAAAGTCACGTTATGATCGCAGACGTTGCGAACCGAAGAAGTTTCGGATTGGACAACTGGTCCTGGTGCGAAAAGTTCGCACCACAAACGAAGGGAGTAGTAAGAAGTTACTACCTAAGTACGATGGGCCCTATACGATTAAAAAGGTGTTAGATCATGATCGCTACGTTATCGAAGATCCGAAGGGATCTCAAAGAAGCCAGAAACGTTACACTGGTATTCATTCTGTTGACAAATTAAAGCATTTTCGAGTCTGTCAAAGTGACGATTCAGATGCTTCTCGGTCTGATGAGGCTAACGACTAATTATTTGTGTGTTTGCAGGTATGTGTGTCTCATGATGCTTAGGATACTGCTTCCCCCCAATCACAGTTTCCTCGAGGACGAAACAACGTCAGAACGGCCGAGCTGTTAGCAACGGGACCTCGCTGGTGCTCCGATATGATGTCGCGCCAGCCGAAATTCCAGCCGTCTGAGGGTTGATTATCGTCGGTTAATATAAACATTAGATAAGGTGCAAGGGAAGCAGTGAAGGGGGCAGTCTGTTCTTTCTTCTTGAGGAATAAAGACGTATTTTGATTTTGCTCTCGCGTTTACTTTTCCCTGTGTAATTTTGGGGACTTGATATCATTTGATATTATTTTAAACATTTCTGTGAATATATAAAAACCACAAGATATATTCTTAAAATAATTGTTTTTGTGAAACAAAAATTAATAATAATTTCCTTTTTTATCTACGTACAAAATGTTTATACCGAGCCATTTTAACGAAACTGTAAAAACTGCTACATTGCAACTAGCGATTTTGAAAAAATGGTAGGAATTTCCGAAGAAACGAAGCCGAAAATGACTTCTGCAATCGAAATCCACAAGAAAATGTTTTCAAGTAATTTTCGGAAATAGTTGAAAATGTCGAAAGTGCCAAAATCGATCTTATCTTATCAAATACTAACCCCGCCCACCCACCCTCTATTTTCTTAAAGGGTTTCTCATTGCCCAAAATCAGTCTATCTTAGCAAGTATTAGCCCCGCCCACCACGTATTTTCTTGGAAGGTATGTCATTTGCCAAAATCAGTCTTATCTTAGCAAGTACTAGCCCCGCCCACCCACCCTCTATTTTCTTGGAGGGTATGTCATTTGTCAAAATCAATCTTATCTTAGCAAATACAAGCCCCGCCCGCCCGCCCGCCCTCTATTTTCTGAAAAAGTATATTATTTGGCAAAATCAGTCGTATCTTAGGAAATACTAGCCCCGCCCACCCGCCCTCCATTTTCATAGAGGGTATATCATTGGCTAAAATCAGTCTCATCTTTACAAATACACTCACCGGCATAAAAAACGGGCCAGCTAATATTTTTCTGAGTACAGTGTTTCGACGTTTTTACTACGCGTATTTTTGATGTTGTTTCTTGACCAGCAATGTACCTGCACCCCACACTTTAGATGAGCTTCAGAATATGCTTTTAAAGGAATGAGAGAATATCCGAAAAGAAGAAATAAACAATTTATTTCATGGGATGCCCTGGAGAATGGGCATCCCATGAAAGAAGTCTTACAGGTTCGTGGGGGAAATACCCGTTATCGGCGTCCTTAAGCAGTGTGTCAATGGTCATTGATTTTGCTTTTTTGAAAATTTTAATTTTTTTCAGCTTTGTTTGATTATTAAATTTTTTTCATTTTCTATTAAAATAATATATTTTTTAGTTCTTTTTGCATAAAAATATTACAATAAACAACATCAAAGTATTGCAACTGAAATGGTAATTTATTTTGCATATTTTCGGATCTTTAAAAAAAATAATAATAAGGGTGGCCCATTTTGAACGTTTTAAAAATTTTTGCCATTTTTTGACTATTTTCGAAAATGCGCCAAAGATATTTTCATGCGTCTTTCGACCTCTAGACTTCATTTTTCTAATAACTCTTGTCATTTTTCGAGAATCACCAATTGAAATAAAAAAATTTTTAAAATTTTAAAAAAATTTGACATTTCGTTTAAAATATTCCGAAAAGTTACTTCGGAACAATAAACACGCTTTATTTTTCGAACCATTACGCCGAGATCTATCTACTAAAATTTTTTGTAAATTTTGAGACAACTTTTCCTAAAGAGGAATTTTTCAATACTGCCCCCCTATAAAAATTTTGACCATTTTTGAAAATTAGCCAAAGACATTTTCATGTGTCTTTCGAAATCTAGAAGTTACCTTTGGCTTCATTTTTCTGATAACTGTTGTTATTCTTCGAGAATCACCAATTGAAATAAGGCAATTTTTAAAATTATTTCAAAAATCTTGTTCAAAAACCATAAGCACGCTTTATTTTTCAAATGGGCACGTGAAGATCTACATACCAGATTTTTTTGTGAATTTTTAAACAACTTTTCCAAAAGCTCAATTTTTCAATGCTGCCCCCTTGTAAAAATTTTGACTATTTTTGGACCACTTTCAAAAATTAGCCAGACATTATCATATGGATTTCGATCTCTAGAAGTTACATTTGGCTCATTTCGTCGATTGAATTTTTAAAAATTTGACTTTTCGCTTGAAATATTTCGAAAATGTTGCCTAAACACGATATATTTCTCATGTCGAGAATTGTGTATTGGAATTTTTTTGTAAATTTTTAGACAACGTCTCCAAAAGAGGATTTTTTCAAAAACTAGTCTTGAGTGCTGCAGTGTTTGAGTACCTATGGTGTATTATTTTAGAAGCTCATGGAGATGTTTTTTGTAAATTATTTAAAACAATTTTGGGGGACTTTGGTATTATTTTAGCAGTTACTAGCCCCGCCCAACTACCCTCTCTTTTCATAGAGGGTCTCATTTGCCAACATCAGTCTTATTTTAGCCCCGCCCACCCACCCTCTTTTCTTAGAGGGTATGTCATTTGCCAAAATCAGTACTGATGACTAATTTTTACAAAAATGATCAAAATTTGGAAACATTACTAGCTTACTTACACGTATGCATGAGGCAAAAAGTTTGAACATCCCTAGTGTTTGGTTACTTATGCTTTAATGGATTTTTCTTTTGTTGTTTTTGTTTCTGATTTATAAATGTCTTATTAAATTTTTTTTTGATTTATTTATTAATGAAAAACTGTTTTATTATTAATAATGCACAACGATTAACGACTACTGGTTATTGTCCTAAAAAAAATAAAAGGTGGATTTCAGTCACCATCGTTATTAAGAAATCAGAACGTGAACCGGAGGAATTAGGTGCGTGCAGTGTTGCCAATTTTACTTTTCTAAAATTACGTTCTTTTCGTAATCTTCATCATAAAGAATTTTTTTATAATTTTTTTGGGACTCCCGAAACCCCCGTACATAACGTACTGAAGAGTTTCAGACACCCGGTATAATGATATAAAAACCCAAAATTTTAGAACCATCTATCTACAGAGTCATCAAAATTGATTGAGAGAGTTGGTAAACCTGAACTTGAATAATTTGGTTTATTAAGTTGTATAAAAACATTAGCTGTCAGATTTGAAGTTTCAAGTTTCAAATTTCAAAACTCAGTGGCGTCTTTTTTCGACTTTTTTTTTGGTAAAAACATTAGTTGTCAGATTTGAAGTTTCCAATTTTTGTCACGCCACTGAATTCATTGCCATATAACCTTAAACAAATCTGTCATAAGGTTGACAAACTTCACGACAAAAACAGGGGGTACCAACTCTCTCAATCAATTTTGATGACCCTGTATAAAAGTGCGGCTGTCAAACTAGATTACAAATATGTATGATACGATTTTTTTCATAGTTGGCTCTGAGTGTGTTACGTCAAAAATTATCACTGACGTAACATAACGTCACGTCAATCCAACAATGGTGGCAATTTTTTAAAAATCAAGTGAATTTTGTGCATTATAAAACCTCCACAGTGTTACTTACGTTACATAGTGTGTCATACAATCACAAAATAGTTGCAGCATTTGGAACTCCGGCGCTGTACACTTCGTATTAATAGCTAAATGGTCAAGAAAATTCTTGAGCCCGCAATTTGGTCCTAAAGAACACAAGAACAGCCACAAATTGTACAAAGTTGAATTTTGGTAACACAGTCCTGGAACAACTCCAATTAAAAAACTATGACTCAAACCTTAGCCCTCACCTGTTAAAATATCTAATTGTAATTGAGTCAAAGTATTTAAAGCAGTATGATACAAAGAACAAACAAGGACGACTCGATGAACTTCTGGACTTCCCAAAGCGCGATAACTCCTCTGGGTGTTGGTTTTATTTCCTCTCGCTTCTAACACTTTTTTGAAAAAGTTTGAGCCACTGAAATTGATATTTTGAGGGCTGGGGCTCGGCTGCGGGGATTCGACGTTTTGGACGAGTTGTTGGAGAAAGTCTCCTAGCAAAATATGGACGATGGGGGAATTCCAGAGCAAGTTTAGCTGGAGTTTTACATGAGGCATGGCCGCGTTGAGAGATGGGTCCATGGGTTGAGCGAACCAACCCAGTACTGGGTGCCAGTGAGTTAAATTCGACTGTTTATTAACTACATAATTTTGGCAACTTTCTAGCAATCCAGTGACCACAACCTGAAAAAGTGACTTAAAACTACGAAAAATAAGATGTACTTAATTACAGTGAACGTCGGAAAGCTTAAGTCTTTCAAGGCACCGTCTTTTTCCATGTATGCTAATTGTAGTAGGTTTGCGAGAAGACAGAGGGCGTAGCTACCTTCAAGGGTATTGAAGACGATTCTCATTGACTGTTGGCTAGACAAAAGTTCCAAGCTTCTGGAGAATAGCTTGTGATTATTTATATTGGTAATACACTAAAACGAATTTTTATTATAGTGTCAAAGTGAAATTGAGTTTTACCTCAGGTGTTAAATCGTCCAAATGCTGAATTAAAGCCGGAACTGACAGAATATGGATAAGAAACATTGTCATAAGCTTGTCTGAAAAATTGGCTGCCACTAAAGGTCTCAGTGCTAGTGTCAGAATCGCAGAAAGTGTAGCATGCGTGAAGGCTATTTTAATACGCCCTAGCCCCCTTATCAACAAAGTCTGAAGAAATTGCATTAAATTGAATCATTGAAATGAACGCCATACCTTTAAAATTAAATAAAATCCCTTGTGAAATAATTGTCCCATTAAGTTTGCACACAACTTATTCATGCCTGCTTTCAAAACATCCATATTTTTGTTCCTTAAAACCAACCAGTTGCTGGTATTTGTGAAAGACACTAACATGTGCAAGTACAAAATGATTGATTTCATATCACCCGCAAATTCTGGTTTTAGATCATTTAAATATTCACAGCACTTCCATAGAATATCGTTCATATGAGAGATCCATCTTATCACATGTTCCTTAATTAAAGCAACACCCACATAGCTAAGTTTGGGTGACTCTGTTTCGAGAGTCACAATTAAATATCGACATAACTTCTCAAACCTGTCTCTGTCCCTTTCCTTGTGCCAAATGAGCAGTAGTCTACATGATTGACTATATATTTGCAAGGCAGGCTTCAAAATCGTCTTGCTCTCATCCTCTGGCACCTCAGGTACAGTCTCATCAAATTCTTCCCTACGAAACAATAAGACAATCATTGTTACAAGCAAAATAAGTCATTTACAGTATGTTTCGGCTAAACTTGACCCGTACAAGCCACCCTCGCACGCTTGCTTGTATCAAAGTGGCCGCTTTTTCTTTCTTCTTTTCGAAAGCCCTTTCCTCTCTAGCCGCTTTGGTTTGCTCCAAAAAACTACACTTGGCATTGTCTGCTTTATGAAACATTCTCACTTGTCTTAAAAACGAATTAACTTTGCTTTAGAGTCGTAATATCAGCGATTTCGAGATAAAATTGCAGTATGACCTAACGTTTTTATGTCTTCTAGAAAAATAGTAATCATGATGGCTACTATTTAACACGAAAACACGTAAAAGGGTGCGTTCTAGACACCTCTGCGGAAGCCTACACTCACTTTTGGGGGTTTCAAAGGGCTTCAAACACCACAAAGTGCAAAGTTAATGTTTTGAAAAGAACGAGAAGTGTGGCAACGTCGCTGTGTTGTTTAGCTGTCAGCTGTCACGTCACATGTCACTTGTCTTGCGTAAACATAACGTGCATAACCTATAATTTTATGAACACAAAAATTTGAATTTTGAATGAAAATGGCTTCAACAACTCTTGCGTTGCCGCAGAAGCGCTATTATCGACAAAGGGCGCATTCTAATCCGATCGCAGACCACTGTTTTGATTAGTAAGTGTCGATTTATTTTGTCATCGTGTAACGCATATTTTAGCCCTAGAACCCCTGAAGACATGGACTGGACGAAGTACTACCCAGAAATGGTTAAACGAGAGCAAGAAAACAACCCCATGGTCGAATTTGCTGATATCGGGTGTGGATATGGGGGGCTGTTAATTACACTGTCGCCCCTCTTTCCACAAACTTTAATGTTAGGAATGGAAATACGCGTGAAAGTTTCTGATTATGTGATGGATCGAATTGCGGCCCTTAGGTCTCAGCATCCAAACCAATACCAAAATATTGCCTGTTTGAGGACAAACGCCATGAAGTATTTACCCAATTATTTCAAGAAAGGCCAAGTTAGTGAATTTAAATATTTTACAAATCATAATTACTTATTTTCAGTTGAAAAAGATCTTTTTTCTGTATCCTGACCCCCATTTTAAAAAATCTAAACATAAATGGCGCATTATTAATCAGTGTTTGCTGGCAGAATACGCCTATGTGTTGGCAGTAGGTGGAATTGTGTATACAGTCACTGACGTGAAAGAATTGCACGACTGGATGAAACAACACTTTACTGACCACCCTCTATTCGAACAAATTGGACAGGAAGAATTGGTATGATGCTACAATTACTGTATAAATTTACAAGAATTTTATAATTCCAGAAGGATGATCCTGTTGTTGATAAACTCTACAGTAGTTCAGAGGAGGGCCAAAAAGTAACACGCAACGAAGGCGATAAATTTTTGGCTGTTTTCCGACGCGTTGAAGACACATTCTGTGAATGATCTAAATACAATAAACTATTTAGGCTTGCTTTGCTCCTGCGTAGGCGTTAATTGAAAAGTTAGTTGCAGTGAATCAAGCACCATCTTTTCACAGACGTCGGTCATTTCAGGTAACTGCGGTTGTTGAACGAGCCTTTTGATTTCTCGTTTGCGTTCTTTCTCCCGTGTGGTTGGATTGAATTTAATTTGAGGATAAACGGGGGACGGCTCGGTTTTCAACGTTTTCAAAACTTCAATGAAATAATGACTGAAAATGGCGTCACTAAAAATAAACTAGTTATTTTAGGAAAAACCAAAAATTTCAACTACCTGAGGATGTACTCTATCGTGCTTTGAACTACGTTTTTGTGTAAAATAGGCTCAATTTTATCATCTGCAGGTTGTTCTTTTTCTTTTTTGGGATGTAGAGGGCGTTCTTTAACCTTTCTGTCACAATACGCTTTAAGAAATGCTTCAGGATCGGGATGAACTGTTTCCCACGGTTTTTGTTTCATTTGGTCTTCTGCAGTAATGCAGTCGTCTCTGTCTTGAATTCCAACGACGTTTATAGTTATGGGTAAACCAATAACAAAAACTTGGGGTGGCGGCAGAAGGGTTTCTTCTATTTCTTGCTGCAGTGGTAACTTTAACATTTATTTAAAAAACGGTTTAATTTTTTTACAGCAGATTGTTCTGAGTCCGTAATAATGAATTCTTCTAGTGAACTACGCCGTCTTCGTTGACATTGAGCTTCATATTCTTCTCGTTCGTCGAGATTTATAAATTCCAAAAAAAGTTGAATTCGTAAACTGCACGGTTCATTCAAAGATGTCACTTTTAGTACAACGTAGTGCGATTCTTTGGGTGGTAAAACCCCGTTATCCTTCACAGCTTCGATTTTCACTAAGCCGTCCACGAAACAACTAAAATTGTTGTTTATTTTTTTGTAATAGCTAAATAAGAACGTAGTACGGTTTCCAGGTGTAACTAATACGATTATTTCTGTTAGAATTTTTGATGAAGAACATAGTTTGGGTGTTGTTTGACACTAAAAGTGGTTCAATTATGAGGTAGTCGACTGATAAACTTATATCTTTGTTTTTTAATGGTTTGTAAACCAAAGACATGAGATCGTTAAACCTGACTCTGTTTTTTTTTATACATCCAATTCCTCGTATCGTGAAGGTTACGTCTCTCATTCCTAGTTGGACAGGAACTGAAACCTTACACAACTTCGTGAATTTTGTGTCTATCAACATTTAAATGATTCTGCTTACCTTGTACTCTTTCTGTTCAATCGGCCAAAATTTAAACAGAACGGGACCAGTGGAACACGGTTTGATAAAACCTGTGCAATTAAGACACTTTAAAACAGGGAATTCCTCGTCGTTGCACAGTTTGACAATCTCGAAATCATCCACTTTAAAAGGTACCGGTTTGTTGGTGTTGTTATACAGCCAGAACGCAAAAACTGGTGGCTCTCTTAACCCAATAAAAATATACCCCATATTTAACACGTACGTATTATCGACAGCCGACAAAATATAATGATCCAGAGGTACGCTGTAGATAAATACATTTAAAACAATAGTTCTGTCGCAGCTTAGTTCAAATTTGTATGAAAGCTTGTTTTGCTCGGGGAGAAGATATTTGATTTTCCACGTCAACTTCGCGACCGACCCTGCCTGGAAAAAACTCGAGTGATAATTTAGTAATAAATTAGTACTACCAGCAGGTTAACAGTCGACGATTGGATCAAAAGCATCTGTCTATGGGGGCAGTCGAAGTATTTTGTTCGATAAGAGAGACCTTCCGTCATCTCCTTCATTGTGCAGTCGCAGACTTGTCGCCTTTTGAGATCCAACCTTGCAGTAAGAGTCGAAATATTTTTAATGACAAAAACCAGATAGAACAAGTTGGGTGAAACTTCACTGTCTGGGACGTTCACGTTCACTCGTTTTATTTCACCTTGATTTGTTTCTATGAAAGCGGCGTTGAGTCTGAAATGAGGAAATAAAAACAAAGTTTGTACTATGGACATCCCAACTCGTCGATCCGCAGGAGTTGCCATAAGTCGGCGTTGCTCATAAGCGAAAAATTGTGTTCCAGTAAATCCACGATCTGGAAAAAATGTGAAATTAATTTTTTGTGTCATATTTAACAAAATATTGAGTATTCACTTGCAGTGTGGGAAAAGTGCAGGTGTAGTGTACCCTGAAGATGATTTTCCCCCCTTCTTCGGCGAGGGTTTCGGTGTAACGATCCAAGCGATTGTTGTACGAAATGAAAAGCGTGTGTTTCCCTATTCGGGTCACAGTGAATCTCAATTTAACTATCAGTTTTTCCTTAGAACCACATTTCCCTATCACTGGATTCAAAGACACGTGTTTTAAATCGTGGTCGTGGCATAGCTTAAAATTGATTTTAGCTTCACCAAAATTGTATATGTAGAAGCACGTCTCGATAACCGTGCCATAATTCACTTCCCCGCATTGATAACTGGACGGTAGTGCCTGAAACCACGGCACTAACTTAAAATTTCCACAAATAAAGTAAATTACACAAAGTTCTGTGTAAACAAATTTTAGGATAACGGTGACTGGAATGTCCACGGATTCACCCACCAGACTGTTTTTATAAATGCACTGGACACGACAAATTATCTCGACTATTTTGTCGCCAATTTCGTCTATCTTAGAGGTGTAGAATATGTTAGTGAAAATTTCTTCGTTTGCTGCTAGTACACCGGTGGCAGGATCGACTTCGAACTGAGGTGCTGGGAGAAACTGGTATCTAAAGGAACACATGTGAAAATATAAATCATTCTAGGTAAGCTAGACTTACTGCAACCGACAATAGGACACATTTTTAACTGGAACGTATTCACCGAAGTGGATCCCAGGTTGCATTGGCTCAAATCGTATAATGTTGTCTAGAGCCACCTTAACGCGGGGTACATCGGTTTGTGCTTTCACGTAAATTTGAATATCGGGGTGTAAATGGCCATTGAGCTCGAGTCTCCATTGTTCTATATAAGTTTTTTTTTCAGTAGATGTACTCTCTAATTGCACTATCACTATTTGGTACGTTCGTATTAACCCAACCATGGGTTTCATTATGAAATTTCTGTGAAAAGATATTACTGTAATTTCAAAGCGATTCAAGGGCGTTAAAATGTTCGATAGTTTCAGAATTATCTAAAAAAAACACAAACGAGGTTCTCAATATCTTGCGGTACTCCACCGAAGGATAAATCTTTTATTGTGAACAAATTCGCATTAGTTCCTGTTCATAAGAAGTGGGATAAGGAGACGTTTTGTGAGTGGAATGTATAAAAAAACAGTTTTTTTAGTGATGGGTTCGGTCGAAGGCTGTGATCTCATCACTGACACATCGATGTTACTTACAACAGGAACGAAATTTATCATTCAGTTGTTGCGTCATTATTGAAACTATACTTGAATTTCTTTATTAGCAGCGATTACCTGCAAATAAATTTTACTTTGAAGGGTTTTACAACAGTTATTCAAGTTTATTGAGTTTATTGGTTATAAAATCCTAAAGTCCAATGTGCCCTCAGGTAATAGTATTTTGACAGATTTCCAAAACCACCCAATAAAAAAATTTATAGAAATGTGATATTTAAGACGTTAAATTATGCACTTTTAAAACAGTAAACATTTTAAAAAATGATGCAATGATGGTGCCCACGAAAGCCCGATTCTGTCCTATTGTTTAAACTTGTTATATGCATCAATAACAATTAATTAAATGAGCTCACGTGTTACATGAACTTTAAAAATAATCTTCTTTACAGAATTAAAAATGCTTTCGAGCGATTGTGTATATTCATCAATAAAATCACACTTGAATCACATAAATACACCACATCTAAAATTCTTAAGATAACACTGTCATCGTTACTACATCGAACAATGGAACATAGTCAATTAATACATCGAGCACCTGACTTGCTTTTATTATGTACCAAATACCGAGTAAAATCAAAGTTTATTGTTCTATTCTTTTTTTTTCAATTAAAAAGAAAAATTTTTAACTCGATTTTTAACTTTTTTATTTTAAAAATTCTATTTATACTGTAAAATTATTTTAAATCTGTAATTTTACAATATTTCATACTTGATTTATAACCTTACCTTATGATTTATTATCAAAATTTCACGATTAATAAGATTAAAAATCAATTTTTTAAATGCTTATTGAATAAACTATTTATTTCGTTTTTCGTTGGCGCTTAAATAATGTATATGTTCTATATTGATCTGAATTTGAAAAATTACGAACATGAAGACAACCATCTTTGTCTTAAAAATGTTTCTTTTTAATTGAAAAAAAAAAGAACACAAATTCTGCCCACTCCCGTTTTCACAGGGTTATGTCCAGAAAAAAATCAAAGTGTTTTTTGGAAAAAAAAATCAAAAATGTCGGACTTCGAGAAATCCACGGTTTTTCTCAGAAAAGTGAAAAATCTCATAGAACCTCACATCAAAACTTTTTTTTCAATTTTTTTCTGAAAAATATATTTAGACATACATTTTGGGGAAAAACGTCCCGATAACTCAATTTTTGAATCAGTTACAGTTTTTTGAAAAAAAGAGCCATTTTTTTGAAAAATTCATAACTTCTTTTTGGTTGGGTAAAAAAATTTGAAAAAATTTTCAGAAATGTCTTTAGTGGGGTAGAAAAAAAATATAAAAATTCCAGTAAACTCGAAAGGGGTCGGGTTCAAAAGTGGTCGATTTGGCATGAAGTCCCCCATATAGAAAATGCCGGTCACAGTATAAGAAAAAAGGCTTATGAATCGCGTTACAACTTACAAGTCCAAAGTCGACGACTCTAACAATGCACCTGCAAGTGTCCGTGTGATTGTTACACAAGGCAGATTCATAAGCCACAAGTGTAGGAGTATTATTTTGTAAACTTTAAATAATATTTAATATTTTTGGACGTCTTGTTGGTTTCCGTATTATAGACCCAAAATTTTGAATTTTTCTATTCATCAATGAATTGTACTTTTGCTGACATGCAGTTCATCAGTAATGGATTTTAGAGACACGACCTCGTCAAGCCTTTGTAAAATTACACGATTCTGAAAACCAGTTAAAAGCATTTTTAGATTTCTGTTGCTAAACCTGAAACTGCCAATATGACACTGATAAAATTTTGCGTGTACGAGTTTTATATGTCCACCGACTGTACATAATTTTTAATGTCAACAAATTGTGGTGAGGATGATTGGACAAACCTGACAACGTGTCATAAAGTTGGTGCGCTATTTTTTAGCACCCTGTATATTTAAAAGGGGTGCTTTTTGAGGTATCAAAAACAGCTTTTTGAATTAATTTTGCTTAAAATTTCACATAAAGGTGATGTTTATGACTAGTCTTAAAAACAAAATGTGAATTATTGAAAACGAAGGTAAAATTATTTAGCATATTGTTTTAGTGTCGCTGATTTGATATTTTTACGAGAGGTCGAAAATTCAACAAAACTTGCGAAACATTAGTTAAAGACTGATTTTTGTGGAGGTACTTAGAAACCGGTTTCGTTTAAAAATTAGCAAAAATATGAATTATTATGTTGTTATTTAACGACAGGGATAGAGTGTTTAACGCGGATGCTGGTCCTATTTCTCATCTTTCCCCAATTGTTATTATAGAAAGGTGGAGTACCAAATTGGGGATAGTGTGCACAAAAAAGAGAGAAAAAAAACTTAGGCCAAGCAAACAAGAAATAGTGCTAAGATCAATGGTGCCTTGGTAGTGGCTACGTAAAAAATTGTTCTTTTTTCTATCGTATCTCGTAACCATGTTTTGTAATACAATTAAAAGTGAAAGAATTAAACAAACTTCAAAAATTATAACACAAAATATTTTTGTAATTTAGTAACAAATTTTAGACGAATATTTCAACCAATCTTATTTAATGGTTTGATCCTTCTGCATTCGAAAGCATGAAAAATTGATAATGACAATGAATAATAAAATAACAATTAGTTTTTTTTCCGTTAAGTGCCGTAAGCCCTTATTTTACGATTGCTTTTTGTGGCTTTTTTTATCAATTTCAACGTAGCAACAGCCTTAAGACAATTTTGGATCTATTAATGATCCAAATTGTACTTAAAGAATAATAAATTTAAATCGACAAAATATCTGTCTGTCTGTCTGGTGTCTGTATCCCTTTTTATTAGACACGTAATCTTCGAAACTGCTGCATCCCCACCAACAATTTGATTACTTCATTTCAAAGAATTGTATATGTATTTATTTGATTTAACTGTTATACAACAATATAATCCTATAATATAGTGTGGTGTACGAATCCGCTTTGAGTTTCTCCCTAATCATCTAAATTTTTGCAAAAATATAACGCACGTTATAATAACAGTTTACCATTAGCGTAAGGCATCACAGAGGTAATGCAGTCTAGTGGTTGCGAGTCAAGAAAGCGAGTTCAATTCTAAAATTTTCGTTTTTTTCCTCCTTTTTTGTCTCGCATTGTGTATTATCTATATTTATGACGTCATAACAAATTTTTTATTGATAAAATTACCCCACTTTCTCGAAAAGGTAAGACGATAAGGTACGTCTAATAACTAATACTCCCTCTATTCAAATTAAGTGTCCGATTTGGAAATAAATTTTGACCAAAAATAAGTGTCCGCTTTCTAAAAAAAAATATTTTTTTATAAATAAATACTTTAAATTAAATCATTAAAAAAAATTACTTTGTCACAAAGAATCATTGTTACCAAAACAAACACCTTTTTTTTGTATTAAAATGTTGAATTTGACCTACACTAACTACGTTTTACACAAAACCTCTTTACCTTTAAAAATGACAGGGGCGGCTGGTGCCGGGGGCACAAGGGCACGTGCCCCCCCAAAATTACAACGTTTACAAACATAATAAAATAGTAAATTATCAAAACTATTTTTTTTATCTCTTTCCATTTGTATAAAATGTAGCAAAACTTACATCCACATAAAGACGTGTCTTAGATATATGATATGTTATTTCTGATGAAATGCTGATAACAGCCGGGCACAGAGACCGAGAATCATGGCTGATTTAGATGTTTTGTTTACACCGCTGCCATGGAAAATACACGTCCTCACAACTGGACTGCGGACCCATTCCAACCGTGCTCTGCAGAATTGAGTTACTATCGCGGGTTTTAATTTTCATTCTGCGCGAACACGTATGATAAATATTCTTGTATAATGTTCTTGGTAATACAGACATTCGGAAACAACTACACACCGCCTATATTAATAATATTCGGGCATATAACGCAAGGACTTGACGAAAGTAGGGAATCACAAAATCCAGGTATATATATTTCGAGGTCTGATTGATTTTACGGCTGAATTGGACTCTGCTTTGTCAATCATTTGAAAGAAGCAACGGTTTTTAAAGAAACCCCTAAAACTGTTCAAAATGAACTTTTAAAGGTCATGAACGTAAAATTTTAACCGAAGGCAAAAAGATATGTGGAGAAATCCTTTTTTACTTTTATTGCATGTATTTTTGTATTTATTTCCGTCACACAATTTCGTCTACTAATTGGTAATAACAACCTGTTTTATATCTTCATATTTAACTCATCAACAAATTGTGTCCCCCATTTCAAAAGGTCACGAGCCGCCACTGAAACATGAAGGTAATATTTAGCAAACTACAGAAATCGGACACTTAATTTGGGACAGAGGGAGTAGTTATTTACTTCACAAGTGCGACAAAAACACTATTTTACGGGTGCGAATAAGTCACTAGGAGTGTTTTGTAATCGCACGAAAGTGGTAACAACAATAATGCGTCACTCCAGAGTAATGTACAAAATTTTATCTACAATTTCAGAATTTGTTAAAAAATAATTTTAATAAATGAATTATTTATTATGGAAAATAAGTGCAGTTATTTAACATGAATATGAATTATTAATTTAGGTGGGATAACTAACGTTGCAGCGCTATACAGGGTCGCTAGAATGTATGGAAACGGAAACGGGTAAATATCTTGAGAACCAATTGTACAAATCGCTTGAAATTAGGTATAGGGGTACAAGAAGTTGTGCTGTAATTATTTGATTAAAAAAAAATGTTTTACTTCATTTGTTTTCGAGATGATTTTTGATTTTATGACAAAATAAATTATTTACCTTTAAAAATAATGTTAATTTGACATGTAAGTGAAACTGAGCGCATAAAATTATTAATGATTATTATCGGTTACTGTAACAAAAGACAAAGTTTTGCCCATGTAGTAACACTTCTCAAAGAAATGAAAAAAAAAACAATCTAAAAATAAATACTGTTTAATAATTTATTTTGCCATTTCAATTGGAAAGAAAGGATGATTGTACTATATCAATGAATTCAGAAAAAAAGCTCTATTCAAAAATGGATTAAATACATGGTAGTGCCATTAAAAAAAATCAAGTTAGCCTTGCACCTCGAAAACAAATGAAGCAAAAACAATTTTTCTGAGGAATAATTAGGGCACAACTTCTTGTATCCCTATACCTAATTCCAGTTGATTTGTACAATTGGTTCTCAAGATATTTAAACATTTCCATACATTTTAGCGACCCTGTATAATGTTATAGTATGATAAAATGAGGGGTTGTTTGTAGCTCCGGTTATTTAGATCTTTAAAATCTCTATTTATCGCATCATTGATTGATCGCATAAATCTACATAGGAAAAATTGAACTTTTAACTAAATCCATAACCTTTGATCATTTTGTTTCGGTTTCTGGAGTAATATCTCCAAATGAGGGAATAAATAAATAATTTTCAGTTATTTAATTTTAGTGTTTTACTAAATGTTCCATGAAATTCATCACTACTCACAAAAAAAAATAGTCGAAATTATTTCGATTGAACTTCAAATTATAAAATTTGTAAAGTGCGAACGATAGAATAGTTATTTAACGAGAAAATTAACTCTTAGTAATTGCATGGTTATCTTCGAGTATTTACGAGGTAAGCGCCAAATATTCTCGGCCTAACAAAGAAAGAGACCTGATGGAAAAAAATTAAATATTTATATTTCAACATAGTCTCTGTTAACTTCAATACATTCAAAACTACGTTCTAATAACAGCTCTATCCGTTTAAAAAAATTATTTGAATCTTTATCACTAAAATGATGTAGTACTGCCGTTTGCACTTCTTTATCCGTCCCAAACGTTTTCCCTGCAAGTCGTTTTTTAACTTAGAGAACAGTTAATAATCGTTCGAAGCTAAGTCAGTACTGTAGGGTGGGTGCTCAAGTTACTCGAAGTCACAGGCCCCTATAGCAGCTTGAGAAAGACATGCGGTATGAACGGGCGCATTGTCATGAAGCAATCGAACGCCTCTTGCTAATTTTTTCGGCCTTTTTTCCCAAATACGTTCTCCTAATTTATGCAATAAGTAACCATAATATGTAGCGTTGACAGTGGTATTTCATCCTTTAAAATTAATCAACAACATGCCTTTACAGTCCCAAAAAATTGTGGCCATGATTTTTTTGGAAGATTGCTTCGTCTTCAAGGGTTTCTTACCCCATGCGAAATAACTGTAATCATTTTTTTTAGTAAAATGTGAAGGACAAGCTTCAGCAAACACAAAAACCATCCTGCCCTTAATACCCTTTAGAGCAATTCCATCTTTTGCTAAGAATTTTATTGCCGTTCGATTTTCAATTTTAAACAGGCATGATGAGTCCATAATTTTTCAAAGATTACTCCTCAAATGTATCAAAACTAATGGGCAGTAGGGCTTGAAATTTTACACAAATACTGCGGTGACCCTCTAGTCTTCTATGAGTTGTACAAATTTCCCGATGAGCAATCGCAAATATATCAGGCCGAGAATATTTGGCGCTTACCTCGTATGTTTATCTTTCGAAAGAATTCGAATTATTTGCGGTGTGACATTACTGTAATTTTCGAGTAAATGGGGTGAACCGTTGTTGATTTGGTAAAAAAAAGATGTAATGAGGATGCGAATGAGATTCGAACCTCATTAACGCAGACCTTATTCGAACGTTTGGTTGGTGCCCCAGCCCACGCAGCTACAAGGCAGTTGTTCGGACACGCGCGAGATATCTGGTATGTGTCCTTCCTTAGCTTACACTCGGGAAGTAAATAAATAAAGTAGTGTGCATTAATTCGTAAAAATAGACTGTACATACATTTTTAGAAACTACACTAATTTCAAAACATTCATTTTCGCACAGAAAAAATCGAGGAAAAAATAACAAACATTTGAAAAGCGGCGGTAACGACAGTAGTAAAACCAAAGTCCATATTAATGTTGACTTAAAAAACAAGTATCTTCTGAATTTATAACACTTTCTTGCGATTTAAGTACCTACCTACATGTTATAATTATCAAAAATGTCCTATTAGTTTAATACTCGTTGCTACTACAATTTAAAAGAGCAGTTACTGAATCAGTAGGTAGTGTATAAGGCCATATTTCACTAATTCCTTGTGTGCAGTATACGCGAAAAATTAGGATTTTTACCTTCCATATGTCATCTCCCCTTATAATTTAGAACGCTTAAGGTAAAACTGGTTGCCTACTTTAAAGAACCCAGTGCGAATTTTGTTTGTTCTTCATTAAAATCACCGCATTTGTGTTTTGTTTAGGATAATTCTGATTTTTTTTTTAAGAAATTCACTACTATGATTCTCTAAAATATCAGACTCTCTAATTGAATCAGTTTTTCATCTCCGTTTTCGGTTTAGAATACAAAACAACAACCTCTATTGGTTAAAATTGTAAATAACTAACGTTTTGCTGGGTGGCACTAGCTTATACAAAACCGGCAAGTGTCCATGAGCTCGAATGATGAACGTCGTCCACGAAGGAAAATTGGGTAGATTCAAAGGCAAAATCACATTATTAGGAGTAATAGATATAGACGGAATCCAAATTTGATTCTTTGGGAAGCTGTGACCTGAAAAATCCGAAATGTGTTTTTGGATCTAGAAATAGCCGCACCCACCTATCACACGTAGAGTAATAGGAATCGGCACATTAATCGATTCTGGAAAGTCGCTATCAAAAAAAAGACTCCACGTCACGTGTCCGTTGAGTATCGCCCCTGATAATCTACAAGTGTCATCAGGTTGAAATCGACACTCGTACAAAGCCGACTTCTTGGGAGGAATTTCCAGTTTTTCCGGATATAGTCGAAATAAATTTATCTCCTCCCATTCCACTGCGACTTCGTTATCCATGTGATTAGTGAAACTGGTGGTCAACGTTTGACACGAACTGTCCGGCAGTATCCGTCCAAAGTCCAGGTAATTAACAGTTAATGAGATGGGAGGGGGCACGTGTTTCATGGTGACGCTATCGCTGAAATATCCTTTAAAACCGACCGTCTCCTCGTGAGGGAAAGGATAATATCGGAAAGCCAGTTCTGGGTTGTCGTATTCGTCGCTGAGGGAGCAGATTCCGAACAAGTGGATGATAAGGGGGTGCTATATACACGTAATATGTACAAAACTGGATAGTTAAACAAAAGATGCAAGATCATATGGCATTAATTCAACGTTCACAGTCAGTTAATTTTTTTTTTTTTATTTAAAATTGGTGCTGATAATGAATAAAACCTCACAATTTATTATGTTCATTAAAAAATACCATAATTTTTTTTTAGTTTAGACTTTTTTGTTTATTTTTTTAATGGCTTATTTTCCACAATGATGCGTCTTGTAAGTGGTGCCATTAAATATTTCCACAGAACAGCATCCTTGAAAACCGTCAAATCGTGACCCTGATCTGTTTTTTCTAGTTCATATTTACCTGACTGTAGAAGAATTGGTTCAGGAAAGTTTTTCATCAAGTTGATATAAAAAAAAAATTATAATCATATAAAATCCGCAGTAAATCAATAAATCAACATAACATAATAAACCTCATGACGAAGTATAATCACCAATTTTAATTCTGCCATATTATCTTACATCCTTTGTTTTATCATACTACGATGGATTGTTACGTGGTAGAGGACCAGGCAACAAAGTTGACGAGAATACAGTCGGTGAGCTTGGGGCAAAAATCTGACTGTAATCAAAGCCTGTCCTTCTGGTCCTAGTGTGCCAAGAATGGGCTCCACTGTAAAGACTCCTTGTTCTTCTTCCCCCACGTCGAACTGAAAGATCGCAGGCACTTTGGAGGGGTTAGTTAGGGTGAACATTTGCTTAGACTGTATGCGTTTGGGAGTTTGGAAAAAAATTAGGCTCCGAATGGAAACTTTCACTGAGGGACCTGGAAAATTGTCAGCTGTTGTAGAAATATTCATGGATATGATTGACGTTCACTGGCGGATCTTTTTTTAATTTAATACATTAATAAAATAAATGTATTAAAATGTACTATCGACTATGAGAAAAATTATTTTAAAATGTTAGTTAATTTACGGATGGATTTTAAAATATAGTTGTTCTGGGACCAGATAACTGATTACTGGAGTGCTCCGAAATTTTACACATTTTTGGAAAATCTAAAATCTATAGTGTTCAGTTATTTCAAATATTTTCTGTCATGGTCTTGAGATACACGACCAGATTAAATTTTTGGAGCGTAAACTACGGAAAGTATTACCGTAAACGTTATAAAAAATTTTGTTTATAAGTCTCCAAAAAATTGATGACGTCATTTAAAAAAAATTAAACGTTTTTAAATCTCAGTACGACAAAGTTCGACATAATTGGAAGAGCTTTGTTACTTCAGTGTTGAAGCATTTGCATGTTTTATTCCTTTTTTTCCTAACTTCAAAAAATGATCTAAAATTTTGCACCGTGTATTATTGCCAGACAGCAAAGAAGGAGCATTTCAAGCAATTTTTATTAAATACAGAGTAATGAAGGCACGATTTTTTGTTAATATTGTTACATTTCATTTTTTGTTAATTTCGGTATCTTTGTCAAGATTTTTACTTTCCAAGCCGAAGTTGGGAAACACTACAATAGGCTCCCTATTTCCTGTTTTTCCGACATTTAATAGTTTCTAGAACATGAAAAAGTAGGCCTCCTTGTCACCTGCTCGCACTTTTATTAGACCAACAATCTCCGAGACCACTGAACTGAGACTGATGTGAAATTTTAGATTTATTTTAATAATAATATAATAATATAATGTATTTGGGTTAGCAATACATAGTATTTCACACACATCAAAATGATAACAAATACATCAAATGAAATAATCAAAATTGTTATTCAAAAATTTTCCGGTCCGGTAAAAAGATTTTGAAATGCAATATTCTTTTGATTTGTGCACTAACATTTTTGATCTAATCATCCCCACCAAAAGTTTTATGACATCATCTTAAAAATCTTCTAAATAAATTCTGTTTAAAATATGAAAACTAATATGTTACGATACCAATTTTTAACTTCATACATAAAGATTTAAAAGAATCAATATTGTGCATTTTATGTGTATATGGGTTATCGTAAAAAAATGTAAAAGTAAATTTTACACTCCTTATATATTCTTTTTACCGTCGGCCGACTCTCTACTTTTACGTTGTCTCAACCTTTCATAACCCCTGGAGTACCAAGAAATAAGCCTCCCGTTTCCGTCTGTCTGTCCGTCTGTCTGTCTGTCTGTCCGTCCGTCCGTCTGTCTGTCTGTCTGTCCGTCTGTCTGTCCGTCTGTCTGTCTGTCCGTCTGGCTGTCTGTCTGTCTGTCCGTCTGTCTGTCTGTCTGTCTGTCTGTCTGTCTGTCCGTCTGCCGTCCCGATTTTTATTAGACAGATAATCTCCGAAAGTACTGGGCCGATAGTTGTCAAATTCCAACTTCCACACGAAAATCAAATTTTGATAGAGATAATGACACTACCATTAAGCCATTTAATCACCTGTTCACTGAAACCCTCATATTTTAAATAGCTGCAATCACACTGTAGCTTTTTGTCAGTACTTATGCATTGTTTAAGACAGTGTCGACGTTTAAATCAACAAGATTTATAGCTATTCGTCTCAAAACCAGATTAGGTATTATAACTACAAGAGCTTACATTTTGCCTTTTTTCTTGGCATGTGTAGTCATCTTTTCACAATAAGAAAGGTAAAACATGTTTAAAATGGTAAATTTTTATAGGAAAGTATCGATTTTGCAATTAGGCTCCACCCCTCGGTCTAACAAAAAATGAAAAATTCATCACGATTGAGATCGTATAACACGATTACTTAAGAACAAAGGTCACATAGTAATTTCTCCTAGAAAAATAAGGATTTTACAATTAAGCTCCGCCCCTCGACTTAGGACAAATAAAAAAAATCATCAGAATTGAGAGAGCTGATGATAGATGGGTGGGCGGAGCTTATATTTTCTCTTTTTTCTTAATGTACATAGCCATCTTTTCACAACAAGAAATTTAGAACATGGTTAAAATAGTACATTTTTGCAAGGAAATATGGATTTTGCAATTATGAGGCGGAGCCTAATTGCAAAATCGATATTTCCTTAATACAAATTTTCCATTTTAAACATGTTGTAAGTTTCATGTTGTGAAAAGAAGTCTACACATATTAAAACAAAAAGGCAAAATGTAAACTCGCCCACCCGCCCTATCTCAATTGTGATTTTTTTTTATTCGCCGTGAACCAAGGGGGCAGAGCTTAACTGCAAAATACTTATTTCTTTATAAGAAATTAAAAACATGTTTTTGAGTATTGTGTTGTTCACAGAATACTAAGTATATTAAGAAAAAAAGACAAAATGTAAAATACGCCCACCCACCCCGCCTCAATTGTGATGATTTTTTTATTCTTAGAAACTTGAAACACGTTTAAAATGGTAAATTTTTGTAAGGAAATATGAATTTTGCAATTAGGCTTCGCCCTTAGGTCTGCCAACGAATGAAAACTTCATTACTATTTAGATCAGGGCAGGTATGGATGGGGCTTAGTCTTTGGCTTTAATTTTTTGTTAATATACATAGTATTCTTTGAATAACACGATATTCAAAAAAATGTCTTTATTTCTTGGAGAGAAAAAATAAGAGTTTTGCATTTAAATTCCGCTTCTTTGGCTCTCGACGATTAAAAAAAATCATCACATTTCAGATATGGCGGGTGGGCGGGGCTTATATTTTACCATTTTTCTTAATAAGTATACGTCGTCGTCTTTTCAAAACAAGAAACGTAAAACATGTTTAAAATGGTAAATTCTTGTAGACAAAAATTCATCACAATGGAGAATTGAGATCGGGGCGGGTATGGGTGGGACCTAATCTTTGGCTATATTTCTTTCTTAATATCTATGAACAACACAATACTCAAAAACTCGTTTTTAATTTCTCGTAGAGAAAAAATGATTTTGCAGTTAAGCTCCCCCTTCTTGGCTCACGACGAATAAAAAAAATCATCACAATTGAGACGGGGCGGGTGGGCGGGGCTACATTTTGCCTTTTTTTTCTTAATATGTGTAGGCTTATTTCGACAACAAAAAACTTAAAACATGTCTAAAATGGTATTTTTTTGTAGCAATCAACTTAAATCCTCTACTTTTCTTCTACAACCCCTTTAAATATGGCAAAAGTTAGACATCAAAGTTACTATCAATGGCAACTTGGCAACGGAGTTTATAAATGACAATTTTCAGCTCTAAAAGTAACCTCAACGGGAACAGCAACTGCAACGGGAACTTCAACGTCAACAGCAAGTTTATAAATCCCACGTGATGGAAGATTGATGAATTAATACTTGATATTTATCACTGCATTAACGTTTTTTAGATTTGCTTATACGAAGTGTATAAAAAAAATTAATAACTGAATCAATTTATTTTATTGTTTAAATCAAGACTTACAAAACTGAATACTTTGAAATCTTGCAGACGTTTTGAAGTTATTGTAAGCATGGCAACTTTTTTACTTTTACTTTCATGTTACATACACGTCTTTATTTTGACTTAGAATGGGTATCATAAGAAAAATAAAATTCGCAAAATCAAATCTTATAAGTCAATCAAAAAGTTGGATTTCTTCTACTTTACTTTAGAAGCGAGGGAAGTTCTGTGGAAATAACCTTCGACCATTTTTTTTTTAATTCTGGCAAGGTATTAACGATCAAAATTTATTTATTCATCTCCTCTTGAAAATTAATAACGTCATCAAATTTTTATTTCCCAAGTGTGTAAGCTATAAGGGAGTATTTTAATAAGATTAATCCGACGAATGTTTTCTGGATGTGTCATGACCTCCAGAGTATGAAACAATAGGTTTCACGTTTCCTTATGTCTGTTTGTCCGGATTAGACAGATAATCTCCGAAATTATCGGACTGGTTGTTATCAAAATTTACAATTCACCAAAGATGGGAAAACGTCCCCTCAAAATTCTTCGTAGTAAGTACATTTTTAAATTTGATAATATAACATACTCCTGTAATTGTGGTTTATGAATTCACCTTGAGGGCTTCTCCGAGGGATCCAAATTTTCGCAAAAAATCTAAATACTAAGGTTAATTATGGTGCTTCAAAATGACAAAAAGCTTACAATAACCTTAAAAATTTTGCAAGATTTCAGAGCATTCAGTTTTGCAGATTCAAAGTTAAATAATAAGTTTTTTTTCGAGACAGGTTCATAAACCACAAGTGAACGAGTATGTTATTTTATAAAATTTTGGAGATGACGTTATCCAGTTGTTGGCGGGTATGATCCGACGAATTTTGGTCGTTTTACCATCCACATAAGATTCGTGACATTCATTTAAATTTGACACCAATCGATCCGGTAGTTTCGAAGAATATCCATCTAATAAAAATCCGGACAGACGATAGATAGAGAGACAGACAGACGGAAACGGGGAACCTATGTTTTCTGCTTTATGTCATTTAAAAAATGTTACGATATCGTAGACAATTACAAAAAAAATATATGGTATCAAAACACATTTATAGGGTGTCAAAAATATATAGGGCATCATTTAATTTCTTACACTGTTACTGGTGTCCATATTTGTTTTATTGTATACAGGTTATCACAAATAAAAGGTCGCAAAATAAAATTTTATAATTTTTCAAAGAAGCGGAATTTGTTGGACGGCTTGAGGGACAAGAAACGTTCTGTCGAAATAAGCTTCGACTAATTTTTTTTTCATGAGGGTTTATTAATAAATGTAACATGCAACGTGCAACGTCTTTTGCACTTTAGTAAATACATATATTTTAATTTTTTAGAATTGGTTTATAGAATTTTTTTTTAAGAATTAATTAATGCGTGAATTAATTTTGATTAAATTAGTAGTGATTCATCTAATTTTCGGAAAATTCTTAGAACGGTACTATTTTTGCAGGATCAATTTTGATCATTTATCCAGGAAACTGGACTTGTTTGGTTGTGGTATTTCCAAAGCGAGAGAAGTTCTGTTCAAAAAACTTTGTTGTAAGGTATTTCTCTCAAGTTTTCACAAATGCAAATGGAAGTACATATACATAAAGTTAGTATAACTTTGAATAAGTACTTTTTTTGTAATTTAAAAAAACCACAAACCGATTGCCGATTCTTTCAGGTCAATAGTGAATAAGGAGTTAATACAATTACAAAAACAACAACGCTATTTTAAAAATGAATTTTCTCGACGAAAATATTACATACAATCTATAGACTTTAGATTTTCCAAAGCCTGTGTAAACTTTTCAGAAACAACGATACAGAGTTTTGAGATAGTTAAGTACTTCCATCCGTAGTTGAGCTATGTACGCTAAAATATAAGATATTATTAATTATTTCTTAATTTTTTTATTAATCAAACTGTGTCCCCCCAGTTCTTATTCTTACATTTACCACTAGTGCAGATGCTCTAGTTTTTCACTCATAATTCAAAGTTTTGACATATTGTCAAAAAATAGACAATTATCCTCTAAATTATCATCATTTCTGACAAACAAAATGAAGAGAAACTTAACGAAATATAGTTAAGTGAAAATAAATACGATATATGGAAATGTAATAAGAAAGTTAAAAGGTTGGAATGAAATCTTATCATTACTAAGCTCTTATGAAAAATTTTGTGAACAAAAGCTGGATTTAAACATAGTATACCTGTAGACTCCCCGTTGAAACACAATTTGTAGAAGTGGTGTTGCGTATTAGTAATTGTAAAGTAATCATAATCGATGCTTCCTGAAATATTAGGTGTGTAGCTAATCTTCAACATAAATGTTCCTCCGGCCGGTACTTTGGTCTCGTACTTATTAACATCAAAAACATAATAAATAGGATTTGTGTTTGTGCTGCGAGTGACATAAAAGGTTACAGCATCCTGAAAATATTAACTTTGAGCAAATCCTAAACATTAATTACCCTTACATAGTGTTTATTCTTCAACGGGTACTTCTTAATGACCGTAGTCCCCACAGGTACCACTCCAAAGTTAATAATACAATTGACATAACTTTGCGGTTCTTCGTACGACATTTTAATAAACAATGACACAAATATGACAACGATTTATTTACAAATAAAGCTCTAGATACATGAGGTAGGTGAGATCTAACTTCACACAATTACACAAAAAGCAAATTGAAAAAAACTATAATCACGCTTATCCTAAAACCAGTCCCCACTCCACCCGTTACGACATCCGTGTCAATATCTTCTTTATCTTCGTATTCTTCAGAGACACAGGATTCTTCCACCAGCTGTCTTGTTTTATTTACATTACAATCAACGCTCGCGCACACACTAACGTTCTTCTCTTGGAAAAACTCAAACATATTCACCAGCAGTTCACACTTCCAAGTATTATTGTAAATGAAAATGTCTTTGATGTTGGGTATTTTTTCGTAGAGGAGCTTGAAATTAACCACGGTGAAATTATTGTCGCTCAGTCCTAAACTATTCAAAGAATCCAAAGGATCCTGTTTAAAATCGATGCTCAGATTCGAGATACGGTTTTGTTGCAACCAGAGCATATTTAAATTTTTCAGACTCTCGACGTAACTCAAATCGAACAATTCGAAGTCGTTGTCCATCAATTCCAAGTTTCGGAGACTGTCCAAACCGATGAAACCGTAACGTTTTACGGTTCTTAGGCGATTGTTGCCCAAATATAAATGTTTTAGTCTCGTCAAACCGTTAAAAGCGCTGATTTGGATCTCGGTGAGACTGTTACCCCTCAGTTGCAAATCAGCCAAGTTGGTCAAAGGTTTAAAATTGTACTGTGTAAGAAAACGGATCTGGTTATTATTCAAATAGAGCGAGTTAAGACTGCCTAAATTCGCAAAGGCGAACGAATCTATTTCGAGAATGTTGTTATTTTCTAAATACAGTAACAACAGGTTGGGTAAGTGCTTAAAAATAAACCCATCCAATTTTTCAATTTGGTTATTGTTAAGAGACAAATGTCTCAGATTCGACAGTCCTTTAAAAGCGTCAGGCTGCAGATAATAAATCGTGTTAAAATTGAGATTCAACAAATTCAGATTTGGTAACTCCTCGAACATGTTATTTATGAGAATTCGAACGTTGTTATGGCTGAGATCCACCTGCGCTATTCTTTTTAAATTAGTGAAGCTCTTTGGATCCAAATCCGTGATCGAATTATTACGCAGATTTAACACTCGCAACGATTTGAATTTACTGAAGGCATATTCTTTAATCGTGCGAAGCTTCGAAGACGTCAGAGACAAAAAGTGGATACTGTTTTTAGAAACGTTGAAGGTGGTACCGTCGAGCGTATCCAAACTGCAGTTCTCACAAGCTAGTGTGTTAATTTTATTATGTAACAGATTTGGGTTTTTGAAGAGTAGATACGAAGCGTTGTGACACAAAAGCTCTTCTCCCCCTTGCATGTTTGTTCGTTTCTTGCACCACCTCGATACGTCGTAGTTTAAAGTTAGCTTAAATATGATAATACTGGTCATCGCAAAGACCCATTTACCCATGGTACTGCAAAGAAGTACGTGTAAGGTGAGTTGCCTACGCACAATAGTAAATTTACTCCCAAAACGGGTTTTGATAGATGTCGAAACAAATGACAAAAACCCACAACGTAGTACCGGGAGTACTGATCGGTTAAGGTGGCCACACACTACACAAACACGTTTTTTGCTTTAAATAGTGCACTTTTCACACGGAAAAAACGCGACTGAGGTGAATGCGACTGACCCGGGCCACCAAATCGACATTTATGCTTAAAAATACATCAAAACCCCTCTGGCCGTACCAATAAATTTTTTTAAACCAGTTTGTTTTGCATCGGAGAAAATTTTGTTGAACTTTGCGGGACTGTCACATTTGAATATGTCAAGCGAGCGTGGTTTATGGTGCGACAGGCGGAAATTTGTGTGGTGTGTAGCGACCTTATTAGATTTCGGTGGTACTTACTGCGAGGAACTGGAATTTGTACTGCGTTGAAACAATCGTCTGGCAATTACATAATTTCGCTTTAATTGCGTCTTGTGTTCGAAAACGGAGACATTTTTCGCTGGTTTAACGGGCGGATTTGGCACTAGGCGCACACAATAACTTATTAATGCAACTGTGCAGTTACCGTTTCAAAACTCCGGTTCACTTTAGCGTGTCCGTGGGTATGATGTAAAAATCTAGCAAGGCCAAGCCTCATGCATGTGGTACCTGATGCTTCGTGAGAAACGCTCGTAACTATTGGAAAATTTTTCTTTAAGGATTTTCGGGCAGCGTCGAAGTGAAGCTATTTACGGTTTCAACGGAGGTTCACATATTGAAATAAATCCTGTCAACGACGCGGATAATAGGAAGACAAGACATAATTTAAATGTCGTGCTTCGTATTATATCATCGCCTGTTAACATACCAAAAGTGGGATGAATGTAGACGTTGTAATGTGTACTGAGCTGCTACAAGCTATTTTGATGATTTATTTTTCTGGTGTCTAGTTAGAGTTCCTACTTTCCATCTAACTAATCACGGCTAATTAAATTTGTGCGTGTATGTTTCTCGAACATGTGTCTCTACACGTTTCTTAACTACTTTTATGTCATAAACTCACAATGTTCCAATTATGTATTCATAAAAGCATTGCACTATTAGTTCGAGCACTAAAAATAATCCGCTGATAGATGCAGCTGCTCCTCCTCACTGTAATCCAGGAATTGATGATAAATGCACAAAATTCCCAAATCGTAATTAACAAAATGTTTACTAATTAATTGGTACTAATAACACCAATTCACATCAAAGATCGGTGTGCTGAACATAAACCACTCGACGCATAAGTAGCTATCGCCACTTAAGGACGAAACCATAACTTTGTAATTTGTTTATGAGTAAGATAGTCTGAGAAAAAACCTCTTTTTCCTTGTACCGTATTCTTAAAAGATAAATTATTTTTTATGATGATTGGAGGGTAAGCGTTTAAGATTTAATTAGACAGCTGTTTTACCTTTTCCATGAATAAATTATATATGCAAGATCCTTTTAAAGATTTGCACAATTTTTAAAATGCTAATTTAAGACAGTCACTAATAGTTAACGGAACTCGTGTTTACATGCTTTAAAATGTTCGACAAGCTATTAATTTTGTTGGTGCTGACCTGTGGAGATGTTTTCTCGACATTTTGCTTGGATTCGTTGTTCTGGAAAATGGCTTGAGAAATTACTGAATAAGTGTAAATTCTTAGTACGTATTTTTTAACAATTTGCTAATTAGGTTACACACTATTAGACACTTTTTCAGTGTTACCTTGTACGTTATTATCCTGTTTCTATGTATTCATTACTTGAATATCCACACCCATTACGTTACAAGTACCTACACAATAAAAGTATTGTTAGCAAATTTTGTTTCAGACATTTTATTCTTGTCGAAAATCCCGGAAATATTTGGCGATACAGGACTTTAAATAAACAAATTGTTCAGTACACATCAACTGATCAAGGTTTATGACTTTGGCGAGTTTATACTGTCACTACTTTTACTACAAACAAAGTAGAATCTAAATATTTAATATATTTTTAAGAACGTAACTCAGATAAGTAAGAAGTTGCTCATACTAGAATGTTTGTACTTTTGGGAAATAATCTGCCTTTATGTTTAAAGAGAGTTAAATGGTGCGTTTCAAAACAAGTTGTTGATCACTGGTAAGATCATGGTATGTATTTTAAAGTAGTGGCATTAGCATTTGGGATTTAACGTTATTATCGTATTTTAATCATCTTGTTTATTTAAGATACCACTAAATTTGTGTTGTAAAAATTATATATTAGGACGACTGTGTGATAAAAATAGGCACTTTGAACCTAAGAGCATTTCTCCTGACGAATTCATGGCTCATCAGAATCCATAATTTTCTAACACTATCAAACATTTTTCATATTTTTTGGAGAATTTCAGATACTACCTGAAACTCCTAAAGCCCAATTGAATCACGGAAATTTCACGTCATGTGTGGTTTTACCAATGGCAACGCTAGCTTCGTTGTTCGTTTTTTGCATTTTTGAATATTTACCTTCACTTCACGGAGTATGACATGAATATTTTATTATCACTCAAGTACAAGAATATATTTATGTACGACTAACACAAGTGAAAAATTTGACCTACTCTGTAGTATTTTTTCCCAGTTTTCATTCAGAAACGGTAAATAACACTTTTTTGGCTCCATACTGCAAACTTCAAAGAGATATTTAACGGAAAATATTTAAACACAAAACATAGAGGGCTGCCGTTGCTATGACGATAGATCACCACATTTGTCAGAAATTATAACGCATCGAAAAATTTTGCAATTTAGTTCTTATTCAAGTGTTTTGTATTAATTTTCTCTTAGAAGTTTATGTGCCCACACAATGGAATTGAACAACGATGAAAATTTCTCGTGCACCCTTGAAGATGTTGTCAACGTGGCAAGTATACTTTGACCAGGGGTGGGATTTTGTTTCTATAACGATAAAATATCGGTACCGATAAAATGTGATCGTCTTTTTGTTTCGCATCTGAAATTTATATTTCCGTCGTTGTCATTTATCGCTTTGTCATCGCTTCGTATCGGGTCGGTAGAAACAAAATCCCACCCCAGAACTCTTGTGCGGAGTCTGCCTCAGGGGTCTACTTGTCTACTTACCTCGAGCTCTCTCTTGAGTACGGTCTGACTTCATTTCGGTCCATCTTGACAAACCCGTCCCAGTCATCTCGACTGCGACAAGTTTACAAGAGAATTTAGTTAAGCCCTCATAAAAATTAGTGGAAGTCAAAAGACGCCTGAGACAGACTCCGCACAAGAGTTCTGGTCAAAGTTTACCGCCACATTGAATCTATTGCCGGAAAAATCCAAGGGCCAATATTTAAAAGAATATGATTTATTTATGAAATGGACAGCTGAAACACAAGTCTGTAGTTTTACCCAAAAAAACTGTTTTTGAAGTAGGTAGTTCTTGATTTTTATTACCAACGTGAAAAATTGGTCTAAAGAGTTTAGACAGTACTTCCCTCGCTGTCGGAAACTTGACGACTGCATGCCTATTGTGTTTTTTTTTTCTCATTACATTTTTGTAGTGGGAATTTAAAAAAAAAATGTGATGACGTCATCAACATTTTTGCAAGGACACGTATATCAGTTGGGATAGATGTAGTGTAATACTAAGAATAAAATTATTGTATTCCCAAATTTTCGGGAAAATGAATTGGGTCGTTTTGAATATTGATTTCTTATAATCAATAAAATAACGAAACAATTTACTCACGTATACGGCGCCGGTGTGTAATATCTAGAGAGCGGATTTCTGTCGGGCTAGGCAAGGCCAAACTCGGTACGGCTCGTACGGGATGCGAATTCATTGCGGTTGCGGACTGCACTTCGTTTATTTGAGATTAGAATAGCGTTGTTTCGTTGCACTCTGCTGTTAATTCCCGTTCTCATTTACTTAGCCGTTTGATTAATAAATCGTTAATTATATTTATGGAATCCAGCACGTCCCCCCCTATAATCGTGACGTAGCCCGACAGAAATCCGCTGTCTAGTAATATGAGGGGCAACTGAAAATCGTTTATGTATAAACATTCTTAATTTAAGATGACAAGCGTAACAGCATACGTGAGAGTCAAACAGAGAAACTGTAAACAAAACGACCATCGGTTTTATTGCTTCGACTTCCGCTTATGATATAAAACATTGGGTTTTATTTTAATTCTTGACGGTGAAATTCACAATTGGTTGATTATAAACATGTCCATTCCACATTCGCGGAACCAAATGAGCGCATAAAACAAATGCAGGTCTGTAATGTTAAAGTCGATGTAAATAAGCGTGCTACCCTTATGTTTCAACCGAATTTTTCCTTTAACAAATTTTGTGTCTACCAAATTGGGTTGGTTGGGGTGTAATACTAATAATAAGTGTTGCCTTTAATTTAATCAATAAAAGAAATTGACTTCATTAATTTTTTTGAACCACCTCTTAAGAAAATCTAAAAAATCACAAGTACAAACTCATCATATTTTTTGCATTTTAGATAGGATTTATTCAGCAAAATTTAAGGGTGACGTCATCAATTTTTTTAGGAGTTCATCCCTCCAAAAGTTTACCATGCTTATAATAACTTTAAAATATTCCCAAGATTTCAAAGCATTCGCTTTTGTAATTCCTGATTAAATCGATAAAATAAATTCACGCATTCATTAATTTTTTTGAGTCACCCTGCATTTACAAATCCAAAAATATGAATGGAATGATAAATCACAAGTACAGACCCATCATATTTTGTACATTTTAGATACGATTTATCCGGCAAACTTTTGAGCTGACGTCATCAGTTTTTTGTAGAAGATAACCAAATATATTTTGACTAAACATTTATTATGCTCTTTATGACCTTAAAACATCTGCAAGATTTCAGAGCATTCGGATTAAATCAATAAAATATATTTACGCATTCATTAATTTTTTTGAGTCACCCTGTATATGCAAATCCAAAAAATATGAATGGAGTGATACATTACAAGTACAGACTCATCATATTTTTACAGTTTAGATAGGATTTATTCGGCAAACTTTCGAGCTGACGTCATCAATTTTTTGGAGGGGATAAGCAAATATATTTTGACTAAACATTTATTATGCTCTTTATAACCTTAAAACATCTGCAAGATTTCAAAGCATTCGGTTTTGTAGTTTATGAGTAAATCAGTAAAATAAATTTACGCATTCATTAATTTTTTTGAGTCACCCTGTATATGCAAATCCAAAAAATATGAATGGAATGATAGATCATAAGTACAGACTCATCATATTTTGTACATTTTAGATATGATTTATTCCACAAACTTTTGAGCTGACGTCATCAAGTTTTTGGAGGGGATAAGCAAATATTTTTTGAGTAAAGATTTATGTTGCTCTTTATAGCCTTAAAACATCTGCAACATTTCAAAGCATTCTGGTTAGCAGATTAAAAATTAAATTTCAAAATGTTGTTTTATAATTTTGATTTTTTTTCCAAAAATCTGGACGTTTCGGGTAAAAACTGATTTCGGAGTCGTAAACTACATGTGTAGGACTATGTTATTTTATACAATTTAAGACCCATTTACTATGTACAGTTTTGAAGTGACGTCATCGCATTAGTGGTGGGGATGATTAGACAAATTTTGGTTAGCGTTTTACCATCTACATGATATTTCTAATATAAGTACAAAATTTCAGAACAATCGGTCCAGTACTTTCGGAGATTATCTGTTTAATAAAAATCCGGGACGGCAGACGGACAGACGGACAGACAGACGGAAATGGGAGACCTATTTCTTCGTATTCTAGGAGTCATGAAAGATCGAGAAAACGCAAAAGTAGAGAGTTGGCCGACGGACTCGATTACAATACTTCCTTTGCTTACGCTCGGGAAGTAAAAAAGTTTTGTATGCAATTCGTGAGTAAAGTTACTTTTTTTCACTAGCCTTCGGCTCGTGCAGCAAATTTTCCTTCTCATGAAAAAAAGATACACTTTACCCACTTGTTACGTACATAACTATTATCGAATAAATCAGACAGTTATGGCACTTGGTGCAATAAATCCATCCTGTGTATAACTAAAGCCCCACATAAACCATTCTGCACCATTCAGGAAGACGTTGTCGAGGTCCATTTAAA